CTACTCTACAGGCAGCATCAGGTGAGTACCTACCTCGGAGGGAGGATGCTGAAACTCACAGCTAGCGTTGAAAAAGGACCGGAGCAGAATTCATTCCTGCTGCCGTGTTTGCTTCGCTAAATAATTATTGTTGCTTATTTAAGCCCCGGGTCATATACAGAATAAAACATGAGACAATAGAATCCTCTATAAAAGTGGAGTAAATAGTCCTGGACTTAAAACCATAAGTGAGCACAAAATTTCTGTTGCTATGTGAGACGTATGTTAAATGTCCCATTTTACAACTTTTCTTGCCACAGATGTTAAGTGAATCACTGCAGTTGTTGTGTTAGTCACATGGTGGTTAAGTGAATCCAGTATCCCCATTGACTTGCTGGTCAGGAGGTTGCAAAAGGGGATTGTGTGGGACACTGCAACGGTCATAAATGTGAGTCAGTTGCCAAGCTTCTGAATTTTGATCGTGTGACCATAAGACGCAGCCATGGCCTGACTCTTGAGTAGCAGGCTTTCAGAAGCAAGAGGAGGGGGCAGAGCAACAGCTAGTTCCATATTCTTATTTTCGGAGGGGCTCATCCCTGTTTCTCCTCCCTCCTCCATTCAGGCGCAGATTGACCAGTATGTAGAACTGGTGAGGAACCAGTTGAGTCATCTCAGAGCAAAGTAAGTTCAAAGTATTCCCACAGAACAGAACGGGGCAGGGCGGCTGGGGAATAAGCCATTTGAAGACCTTCTTGGGCTCCGTTCTTTGTGTATCGGTGATATAATATTTATTTATTTCATGTATATGCTGCCCATCTCTGGGCTTAATTTCCTTAATTTATTTTTTACTTCGGATCCAATATGTGAGCCTGCAAAATACTTCTCAAAGGATAGTTATTTCTGCCTTATTTCTTGGGAGAAAGAAACTGGAATGAATGAAAACATTTTAAAAATAGCAGCAATGGACCCCAAAGGGTCTAAGGAAGACATATTGATGGGGTGCTCAGGGTGGTCTGTGCTTCGCCCTCCAGCTTAAATGGAAGTTTTTAAGGCTTTTAAGAAGGGGTTGGACAGCCATTTGCCTGGAATGGCATAGCTGTGCTGGCGGGAGAATTCTGGGAGTTGAAGTCTCCAGGTCTTAAAGTTGCCAAGGTTGGGCACTTCAGGCACAGGGTCTCCCGCTTGAGCAGGGGGGTGGACTAGAAGACCTCCAAGGTCCCTTCCAACTCTACTAACTGAAGATAGACTTGGCAAAACACCTCCTCTGGCTGGCTGGCTGGCTCAGTTTCTCTTTTTCTCCCCAGGATGCTGGCCATATTGCCGACAGCAAAAGCGAAGGCAGAATGAGGGGTCACAGTGGTGGTTCTCTTCCCTGCGCACACAGATGCAAACGACAACGCGCTCCCTGCTGCTGCTGCTTCTTCTTCTTCTTCCTCACTTCCCCTCCCCAGCCATTGCAGTAGTGACCCTTCCTCTCCCACTCTCCCTGGCCTGGAGGGGCTGGGCGGTTGCTGGTTTTCCTTCAGACTCCCCCACTCTTGAGAAATTGCGGAACCCTTTCAAGGGGGGGGGGAGGACCACCATCCCTTTGCATCTCAGCCCTGCAGTTGCAGAGGCTCAGGGGCTGCCTCTTTTCCTCCTGGGGGGGGGGCGGGGGCTGAGAGAAGCCCCCTCCCCAGCCCACAGCCAAGGATTTGTCAACCAAGAGCTGAGGGGCTAGTATCCCACGCTCCTTTCTCCTTCCATGTCCTGGCGACTTCCTCCTCCTCCTCCTCCTCCTCCTCCTCCTCCTGCCTGCAGTATTTGTCCGGGGTCCTGAGTTGAGGCCGGCCAACCTGGAGCATCCTTCCCTCTTGAGGAAGAGGAGCTGTTCGAGGTTGGGCAGGACCACCTCTGCCCCCTTTCTGTGGGATGTTGTAGCTGTTTCCCCCCCCCCCCGCCCCGCCGCCTGTCATCACGGGCCGGGCTGCGGCTTGGCTGATCAGCTGGCGGGTTGGGTGCAGCCGATTCTTTTTGCCTGGATATTTACACTTTAATAAAAACAGTTGTGAGAAAAAAATGGGTACGCATGACCACTTGGTCTCCCGAGTCTTCACTTGTGGTTGTGGTGCACTGTGTGGGTGTGTGAATGTGTCTCCTTGCCAAAGTTCCTTTTTTTGCTCCTCCTCCACACCAAGTCATAAAGTCTAGTTGGAAGCTGCAGGGGCTTCATGTCCAAGCCACAAAAGCTGGGGGCAGAACGCCCTTTGCCAATCCATGTTGCTGAAATTGTGCAAGGTGATGAGTAAAACTCGTCCTGGTTTTATTCTTGCAAGTGGTTGAGTTTCCACACCGGCGATTGGTGGGTGGGGATTTGCCTAAAACGGGGGCCTGAAAACTTGGCAACTTTTAAGACTTGTGTTCCAATATCTGAGGGGTTGCCATAAAGAAGGCGGTGCCTGTTAAGATATTCAGTTAAACAGCTGGAGCAGTGAAGGGTTGACAATAAGAATACACCATAGTAGCTAAATGATGGATTGCCCACTGCGTGAGGCAATCTGAGCTTTGATTGGTTGCTCTGAGTGTAAAGGGGGCGTTTCCTTCTTTCCCGCCTTTTTCCTGGGTGTGTAGAATTTACCTCATGGTATTCCTGCTGTGTTGATTTACCTCAGGGGAGGGACGGATGCCCACTTTATGATTTGTGGACTTCCAGAATTACACTCCTGTTTGCCTGACTATCTAGTTAACTATATATATATACATATATATACCGTATATAGTGTAAACTATATTTATTTAAAACTACAAGTTCGTGTCAGCGTCTTGGATTCCATTGGACACCGACCGTGTAGTTCTCTGACAGAGTCCATCTATCCTCCAAAGCACCCGAAGGCAGAACATGAAGCAACAGATGGAAACTGAACAAGGAGAGAAGCAACCTGGAACTAAGAAGAAACTTTCTGACAATAAGGACAATCAACCAATGGAATGGCTTGTCTTCAGAAGTTGTGGGTGCTCCATCAGTGGAGGTTTTCAAGAACAGACTGGACAACCATTTGTCTGAAATGATATAAGGTTTCCTGCCTGAGCAGGGGGTGGACTAGAAGACCTCCAAGGTCCCTTCCAACTCCAGCTAAGCCAGCTGAGGAATTCTGGAAATTGAAGTCCACAAGTCTTACAGTTGCCAGTTTTGGAGTCCCCTGGCCTAGAACAGTCACCAGTGGGTGATGGAAACCATGTGCCACCTGTGCCCACCAGCCTTCCTTGGTTCACCCCAGGACTTTGAAGCATGGGTTGGACAAAGAGTGGGAAGACCCTGGTGCAAAAACCCCTCGATCCTGGGGAGATTCTGGGACAGCCCCTCACTCAGTGTACCTATTTCTCATTGTGGTGGTTGGGAAAATACAGGAGGGGGAAATATAATAGGTGCCACTTGGATCTCCTGGAGCAGAGGTCTCCAAACTTGGCAACTTTTAATACTTGTGGACTTCAACTCCCATAATTCCTCAGCTAGCATAGTTGAAGTCCACAAGTCTTAAAAGTTGCCAAGTTTGGGGGCCCTTGTCCTGGAGGAAAAGCAAGATTAATGGAACAATCCCACAACAATCCATCTTTGCCAAGTTGCATCATGAGGACCAAACTCCCTGATGCTGGGAAGGGTGGAAGGAAAGAGAGGACAGTGACCGGCTGCCAAGTGGAGGGACCCGGTTATGAGGGTGATTGGGACACGGTTGGAAGACCTGAAGAGGGAAGGTTAGGGGGAGGTTCTTGGTACGTGGTCACTAGCAGTCCAAAATAACTTGTAGCCAGCAGAGGGAGCCCAAGGACCACAACATCTCAACCACAACTGGAAACTACAGGCAGTCCTCCACTTGTGACCACAACTGAGCCCAGAATTTCTGTTGCTCAGACAGTTGTTATGAATTTTTGCCCCATTTTATGACCGTCCTTGCCACAGTTGTTAGGTGAATCATTGCAGTTAAGCTAATAACATGGTTGTTAAGTGAATCTGGCTCCTCCATTGACTTTGCTTGTCAGAAGGCAGGACACTGCAACTGTCCTAAGTACATGCCAGTTGCCAAGTGTCTGGATTTTGATCACGTGACCATGGGGATGCTGCAATGACGTGTCACTTTTTTCAGTGCTTTGGTAACTTCAAGCAATCACTAAATGAACTGTTGTAAGTTGAGGTCTACCTGTATTAGAGCTTGTAAAAGGCTGCAAGGGAATATGTTGATCCAGACCGACCGGGCTGCATCACGGCAGGGCTGGTGGCCACCATCATCCAGGCTCAGGAGCTAAAGTGAGCAGGGGGCAGCACTGCATGACTCTGGGGTGGGAGATCTGCAGGGCTCTCAAGAGCCACAGGCTGGAGTCCCAGCAGGAGGCAGGAGCCAGCCACTTCTCAAGAGAAGCCGATGCTCTCTTTCCTTCTCTACGCAAGGATGGCTTATTCACTGTAGGTTTTCACTGCTAAGCGGAGCTTCCATATGCAACAAGACTCTACCTCAACAATCCCAGAAGATCAAGTCTTCTGACAGCACCAGATAATAAAGATGCTTCTTTTAAAACAGGAGTGACAAAGACTGTGGATCTTGGGGTGATACAGAGAGTCCCCTGCAAAGGCCTCTCGTCACCCAAGCCCACCACCCGGACCCTGAGGGTGACGGCAGCGGGCAATCGGGTATGAATGTGGAGAAAGCCAGGCAGATCTACGGCTTGAGATCTTTTATTGCACCTCATTTTTTTTTTCTTTACATGAATTCGAAAAAATAGATCATATATCCATCATAAAAAGTACATTTTTTTCAAAGCTGTCTTTATTTGCTATTTTGCTGACCAATTAAGTTAAGTGCAGGACAGGAGGGCCAAAGCAGGGGCCAAACTTTGCCTTTCCTCTACTGGCTCTCAGGTTGCTTCATCAAATACATCACACAAAAATATTACAGCACGAAGGGGTAAATAACAATAATTAAAAATAAACATATTCCCCCAACCCCAGCAAGAATCCGTTTTGTTTTTCTTTTTTTAAAAAAGCTGGTTAAATAAAAGTCCATAGGTTAAAAAAATAAAATAATTAAAAAAAAACAACAACATCCAAAGCTTGGTCACAAGAAAAAGTTTTGGAAACATTCTGAATAGCATCATGGTGAGCTCTGGGGAGCCAAGAAGCAGCACAGCAGCTTTCTCAGTCGAGGGGAGGTTAACCAGAGGCACAGAACAGAGCAGGCTGCACAAAACACCCCACCGATGCAGAGCGGCTGAGGACCCCCCAGCACAAGAGGGAAAGGGCCCCTGGGTGGGAGGCTCAGAGGGGCGGATGCTCTCAAAGAAGGCGCACTTGGCACGGCCTGGGGGGCCCAAGAGGCCTTCGGAGGGGGCAAGGAGGAGCCCCCCAGCCAGGAGAAGCAGCCTACATGCCCTAGGCCTGGAAAAGCAGCAGTGTGGGGTTAGAGCAAAGCAGGGGAGGAGGAGGCAGGGAGCAATTAAAGGGGTCACGCTCCACACTACCAGCAGCAGAGACGGAGCCCTCATGGACTCCTGGGCAGCCCGGAGGTCTGGCCTGAGAGCAGAGGGGAAGCAGCTGGCCGTCTTAAGTGGGATAATGCAATGAGTTTGAGGTCCAGCTGGCCAAGGTCAGGAAGCAGATACCTAGTTCCCAACTGCAGGGAAAGCGGTCACTTGCAGAGGTCCCTTCACAGTATTTGTCACCCAGGCCCACCCACCCCCACCCCTCCCAGAAGCCAGGACCCTCCCTGCTTTTGCCCATCAAAGAAACCAATTGAGCGAGGGGGCCAAAGGGAAGTGAATCTCTTCCAGGGAATGCAGAAAGTCCACTGGTCAAGCCCGTTGGACAGATGGACTCACTAGAAGCACCACCTGGGTCTGGCAGGGAGTGGCCAACCCATCGACAACAGCAGTGCAAGAAAAATCTCAGCTGCTTTGGGTTTTTTTTTTGCAGGTCCCACTTTCCTTTGGCTTCTTAAAAGTTTCAGATTTTACCATTTCCTTCCAGATAAACTACTTTTTATATCACCCATCATTCCCATTTCCAAAAGTGGAAACCAAAATAGATCTTTAAAAATCAACACTGACTTGATGGCACAATTAATTTGCTTGGCTGAAGGTTTCAGGGAGAGTTGAATGCCCACCAAAGAAATATCATCCCAGACCTCAAAGAATCCAATGCCCAACAGCAGCCTTACAATTTGCAGAAGTTCACGAGCGATTAAGAAGCAAGGCTGCAACATTTTGGCCCACTTTAATATGACAAAAGCTTTCAGCAGGAATGTGCCCAAATAATTCACAAAAAGTCTGCCCTGATTGGCCACTTAATGTGGCTTTTTCATCCTAGAAGCAGCAGATCCTGTAGAAGTGTAGCCCGAGAGATCCAACGCACGGGATGCCAAGCTGACTAGCGAAAGGGTAAAGTGCCTGTTTTAAAACCATGCAGCTAACACAGTTCATAAAGCCACCACAAGACATGAGCTGGGTGGGGGCAGCATAGGGAGGGTCTCTTCCCCCTTCAGTTTCCTCTCCTCAGGGCAGCCCTTGGCACAGCCCCCATTGACAGAAACAGTGATGAAGTGTGGAGAGAAAAGGCATCGTCCGGTTCCACCAAGCGTCCCAATTCAGTAGAAGGCAAATCCTGTTTCCAGGGGGAAAGGTGGTCTGGGCGCCCTCTGAGGAGGGGGAACCAACTCACAGCCCAGAAACATCCCCCTTTCTCCTCTCGATGTGGGAATTGGCCAAAGGACAAACATCGGCTCCTCCACCGTGTGCTGCACCCCCAAGGAGGGAATGAGAACGCATCGCAAGGGCTAGAGGCGGCGGCCGCAGCTGCAGCAGAGCGGGTTAGAGGCTCCCAGGCGATAGCGGTGTGCCCAGGCGCATTGGGGCTCCGGCCCCCTTCACCCAGCCCGGCGTTGGCAGGGGCGGATGGGCTGGCAGGCTAGACCCAAAGGCGCAAGTTGGGGTTTGAGTGTCACAAAGCAAGGAGCGAGGGAGAGTTCAGAGTGTCCGGGGAGTGGTCGCTGCTGCCGTTCCGCTGGTGGATGGCTCCACAGGTGGCTCCCTCTGGGTAGGTGAACACAAACGAAGACGTATAGGAAGGGTTAACCGGGTACGGGTCGGTCAGCTCTTCACCATGGCTAAAGTAAGAACTAGAAAACGCTACCTCCGCCGGGGCCGGGGCTGCGGCCGGGAGTCCGCCCAGGGCCTGCTGGTAATGCAAGGGCACCGAGGAGTAGGGGGCCGAGGGCCCAAAGGGGTCCTCCTTGACCGGCATGGCCAGGGCGCTGACCTCTACCGAGGGGCCGGGCTGCCCACTCAGTTCTGTGATGTCCTGGTAGGGGATTTTGCAGCTGCCCTTGTGAGCCACGAGGACAAATTCCAGCCGCTCCCGTTCCTTCTGCAGCTCCGCAATCTCCGACTCCAGCTCAGCTTTCTCTTCCTCCAGCTGGTCCGTCTCCTGGGGAAGAGGCAGCACCAGGTCAGGCTGGGGCTGGAGCAGCTGGGAACCGGGGGAGGGGGGGGGGGTCCTGCCTCCCTCCCTCCCGACCCTCACCTTCCAGGTTCCCCCCTGCTTTAAGGTGCAGGGACTGGGATCTTTCCAAGGGGAAGGGCGTGGGGCTTGGGGGGGGGGAGGTCCTTATTTGTGGATTTGGCTAGTTGGAGCAGACCCCCCCCCCACCGAATCTTGGTGAGGGAGGCAGAGGAAGCTCCTCCTTTTCCCAAAGGGCCCATGAGCGCAGAAGAAGGGGAAGGTCCAAGGAGATCCCTTCCTCGGCAACCCCAGGTGGGTGACCGGAAGACCCCGAGCGGTGCCCCCGCAGCATCTCACCGCTGGAGCATTCCACTTCAGAGGACTGGTGGAGCAGCATCACTCCCAAACTTTCAGGAAACTTTTTGCAAAGTGTGGTCAGAAAAGTCAAGGCGGAATCGGCCTCCGTACAGTGGAAGAAGCTCTGCCAGCTTTCTAGGAGCTGTAATGGCAGCTTTGCGGCTCCCTCCTTGACTTTTTGACTGCACCCTGCAGACACCCCTGCCCCCTTGCAATAAAAAAAGTGAACGATTCTAATTCAAAATGATATATCTCTCCACCTAAAGACGAGGCCCACAATAGATTAGAATAAGCCCCCTCAAGGTGAAGTAACCCAAGGCCAGGGATCTGTCCTGACAGCTGGCTCCTTACTTAAGGAAGGTCCGAATGGCCACAGCCTTCGACTTAAGAGACGGTCACATTTGAGGGACACGATCAGCCTGGATGGGGCTCCCACAGAGCCCTCATGAAATGGGAGGGTTCACAACATGCGCCCCATGGGGCAAGCGCTAGGCAGGGACAAGGCACCAGATTCCCTCCTGGGGGCTTTATGAGGCTAGAACAAGGATAACACTAACTCACCCCCACCCGCCCCCGTTTGCACCAAAACTCACCGCTTGAAGCCGGTCGGTCAGTTCTCGGCGTCGATTCCGGCACTTGGCGGCCGCCAGCTTGTTCCTCTCCCTGCGCACCCGGCGCTTTTCTTCCTCCTCAGGAGTCAGCTGTGCAAGCAGAGAGGAGGGGCAGATCAGGCATCGGCTGCCATTGCAAGGCCAGAGGCTTCCCGGGGCGCCTGGCACATATTTGCAACAGGGGGGCAAGTTAAAGGCTCCCCCCGAAACGTGGACGGGAAGATGGAACTGCGCCATCATCCTTTATGATGGATAGATGGGGAGGGGGAGGCAGGGAGGGGAGGCAGAAATGTCCAAGCAAGGAACAAACCAAACAGCCGGCCAGTCGGCCTATTGGAACACTTTGGTTTTTGAAGATCTTGAAAACAAATTCATTTCAACCCCAGTTCAGTTTTCATGGGTTGTTTTATGATTGTCTGGTTTTTATCACATTGGTTTATTCCTAGGCTTGCTTTTCATAACCTTAATGCCTTGTAACCCACCCAGAATCTTTTAGGTAAGGTGGGCTATAAAACCTGTATATTAAATAAATTGGTAGAGTGTATTTCTAAACTGATAAGGCTCTAAATTGGGGCAGGAAAGATGGTGACATAAAATGGTTTTTTTCCCATGAAATTCAAGAGCATCTGTGTGCCTTACAACAGGGGTCTCCAACCTTGGCAACTTTGAGACTTGTGGGCTTCAACTCCCAGAATTCCCTAGCCAGTGCATGCTGGGAATTGAAGTCCACAAGTCTTAAAGTTGCCAAGGTTGGAGACCCCTGCCTTATCACACATATCTCTTCCTCAAGGCTATGTCGAATCAAAATAATACAGCCACAAGTAACTCGACCAATGTTGGTTTCTGCAGCATTTGGTTCAGTGTCACCAGAACTTCTGTTGGGCCTCAAATTTGGAGCCAGCAGAACTTGTCCTCTGGATTTCCTGGTCTCCCAAAGTAGCATTTGAAGCCATAAAAGATCATCAAGATGATTTTGGGGACCCATCAAACTCACTGCGCCAGGAAGATCCGTTTTCCAGATTGTTTTAATTTTTCAAAAAATGAACGGGAGCTTAGCAACCTGCAGAACACCCATTGCTGTCCTAACCCGTTTTCCTCCCAAGACCTTCTTAGAGAACAGAATTGGGGAAGGGGGCTGCCTGTCAAGCTGCTCTATTCTTCTTGAGGTGAACCTCAGGTGTGTTTTGGTGACCAGGGGTGCTCTGCACAATTCCCATTTTGTAAGAACACTCACAATGGATTCTCAATGGTGAACGTTGAAGTGGGGGAGGGAAGTCCTCAGGAAGCCCCCCTTCTAGCTACATTATGGCCTTCCCCCCCACCCCCAAGGCATCCTAACTTCCAAGGAGACAATTCAGAAACTGGGAATCTCTTTTGGGAGATTCCAACATGCTGGGAGATCTCAAAATTTTAGCAAGCAAAGGGAAATAAGTTAGTGACCTCCTGGCCGAGGAAGGAAAAGCCGCTCACCGTTTCTTCCCGTGTTCTTCGGGGCCGGGCCCTGCTGGAGCGAGGCGGGGTGGCTGCAGCCACAGGGGCAGTCGAAGGGCCAGCCCCATAAACCCCCATTCCTGGGGCAGCGTAACTGGGGCCGGGCAGGTCATAGGGGTCCACTGTGGGTGGGGGCAGCCCCGAAGGCGGAGGCGGCTGCTGCTGCTGCTGCTGCTGCTGCTGCTGAGACTGGGCCATTGAGGAAATCAAGGTAGGCTGCACCAGCCACTGGAGGTCTTGGCTTGTGGATATGGCAGTCACTGTTGGCACAAAAGATCCGGGCATTTCCCCAAGGCCGCTGCACTCCTGGAGGGAAGCAAAGGGTCAGGGGCTCATTGTGGGGGTCTGCTTTGGAGAACAGGGAGCACTTCCCTGGCTGCACTTCCACTCGCGCAAAGCAGCTCCCACTTGCACTGCTCCTGTGTCCGGCATGCAGGACCCCAAACCCGGGAGGTGGGCACCAGCCATGTCGTCCTAGGCACACCAGCTCCACAGCCGCACCATCATCCAGGGCGCCCCGCGGACCGGAGCTCAGGGCTGGCCCTGGAAGCCAAAAGCCGGCTCCATCAAGCCATGGCCGGGAACGGGGGCTCACTCGCACCCCGAGCGCTCCTCCGAGCGCTTCACTTGGGCCAGCCAAGAGCAGCCCGCGGGCCCGCGCCTGGACCGGGAGGGGGGCACCCTCCGTCTCCCAGACCCGGGGGGTCCCCGGGGTCCCCCGAGCCGGGCAGGGACGGGAGCGCAGGGCTGCCCGTCGAGACCCATCATCCCCAGCGAGCAGGTGGTCCGGCGCCGCGGGGGGGGCGAGCCAAAGAGCCCCCACTCGGCCGCCCCGGAGCAGGGCCGGCATGGCAGACGCCCGTCCGGGCAGCCCCGCAAGAGCCTCCCGCCCGCGCAGGGACCACGCCGGGCAGCCGCTGCTAACTCAGCTGGCAGAGGGGCAGGTCGGAGGGGGCGCGGCTGGGAAGCCGCTCAACCAATCCGCGCGGCCCTCGGTCTTGCCCCTCCCCTTAGCAACGGGGGCGGGCCAGCTTTCCAAAATAACCCGCGCGCCTCGGGGAGGAGGAGGTGGAGGAAAACGCGCCCTACGTGCCTCACGTCAGCACGGAGCGTTCCAGTACGTCATGCGTTACGCACAACCCCGCCTCCCTTTCTCGCTCGCATTCTCGCCTCTCCTCCAGCGCGCGTGCGTAGAGGGAAGGGGAAAAGAGTTGAATTCGGACGATGGGGAAGACTTGGGGGGGAGCGTGGCGGCCCCCTTTGCAACCCCTCGAACGGCGACCGGATGCCCGGAGAAAGACGCTTCGTCCGCACCGAACGACCGCCCGCGATGGGCAATGAGTGGCGAGGAAAGGAGCGGACGCTCCAAATCTGGCCGGGAAAGGAGCGGGGTGGGGGGGCGAAGGAAAGACGGGGGTCCCAAAGACACCCCCCCCGGGATCGGACCTCCCGCGCTGCTCCCGCCCTCCAGGGAGCCCCCCACCCAAAGCCCGCAGCCGGGCTCCCCCGTCCCTTACCTGCGAGGAGGCGGCGGCGGCGGCGGCGGCGGCGGCGGTCGGGCTCCCGAAGGAGTCCACCGAGGAGAGGTACTGGGACTCGGCCGAGGGGGACGAGCTGCACCGGGAGGTGGAGTCGTAGTCTCCGGGGAAGCCCTGATACATCTCCCTCGGGGGCGCAGGCAGGAAGCCGCGGCCGCGCGGAGGTCGCCTGGAAGCCAAGATGAGGGGCGAGCGCGGCCAGCCAGCGAGCGGCCGGAGGTCGGGCTGGCGAAGTTGCCTCCGAACTTGCCGGCTGGCCGCTCCTTCTTCCTCCCCCTCCGGCTGTCAGTGCCTGGGGGGGAGACGGCGCCCTGAGCGGCGGGGGGCTCGCCCGGTCCTAGATCCACGTGTGGCAGCGGCTGGGCACCGCCGGTGGAAGCGTCCGCTCAAATCCGCTGGTTCCCGGGAGGAGCGCTCCTGCCTCCGATTCCTGCAGCGCCTGCAAAGCCCGGCGCCTCGGCTCAGATCGGGCGAAAAGGGGAGTCCACCGCGGGGGTCCCTCGCAGCTCAGTCTCCGTCGCGGGTCCAAATCTTATGAATGAAGCGCGGTCGGCAGTGTGGCTTATTTATACAAGGAAGGGGGCGGGGCCCCGCTACGTCACCCAGAGGAGACCCTTTGGGGTCGCCGAAACCGGGCTCCGGGGCCGTCTCCGCGCCCCAAACTCGAGCGGTAGCGATCTCCGGTCCCTGCCGCTACTCCAGCCCGGGAGGGTCTCTCGGCGGCCCCGGCAAGGGGGTCTTTTTCAAGCGCTAAAGCAGGGGATCCCTGGCTCCGCCCTACGGTGTTCCTGTGTGACGCAATTAACCATATTTGGTCTTGTGCTGTATTTGTTTGGTATCCTTAGCAATACGTCAGAGGGAATCCCTTTCTGCGGAGCCGCGGCGGCCTCGCCAGCCGCGCTGAGCCGCCCCCTGAGCGCGCGCGGCTTTTGTTGGGTATTAATAGAAACTTTTACTATATTCTAGAAACGGCATGAAAGCTCCGCGGCGGGCAGGGAAAGAGCGCCGAGGGGAAGCTGCCTCTGGCCGCCGCGGACAGGCGCTGCACGGCGCGAGAGGCGACTCTCTCGGCCGGGCACCAAGCGGGCGCCCTTCTGCGCCCCGACGCCCCCCTGCCCAGCCAGGAGGGGGAGTAAACATTGTTCCCCTGCTGGGTCCTTAATGTAGGGAGCCCCGGGATGAAAGAAGGAGGGCGGCCTTTCCGCCAAAGACAGCCTGGAAGGATTTGGGGACAGCAGCTTCCCTCTCCACGCCCAGCCCACGGTTGGGGTGTCCAAGCTTTCAGAGCCCCATGGCCGTGAGGTGCGACTCGGTTTATGACCCACATTCCCGCAGCCACAGCAAGGAGGACTAGCACGAAAATGTGCGATATTTTATTCTCCAACCAGAGGAGTGGTCTGCATTCAGCTTTGTGTAGGTCCCAAAGCCCCTCAGGAGACCATCCGGCACCCAGGCCTCCTAACCTCCAGGTGCGATTTCATCCGTAATCGGATTTATTCCCATTTCTACCCAGAGAACCCCTTTGCCACTTTACAGAGATGGTTCTAAAGGATCTGCCATCTGAAACTGCTACTTGGCTGGGTCAACCAGGCTAACCAAATACCCTTTAGCTGGGTCTGTGTTTGAATCTTGCTTGTGGGGGTTCTGGGTCTGTGTTATCCAAGCTCATATAAACTGGGTTAATTGAACAAGACATGATTAACTCCACCGAGAAGATGGATGCATTCCAAAGTCATGCCCTTCCCTCCTGGAACTCAAACCCCCCCCCCCAACCCCCAGCAGCTTCCTAGCCTGTTAAGCCAAGAAGAGTTAATGCTTCAAGGAGGGGCTGGAACACCCCCCACCCCCCACCCCGCGTGGCCTTGAAGATTTTCCAGTTTGGTGAAGCCTGTTTGAAGAGGGAGCGGTTAGACTCCAAGGCAGGAACTTTATTTCGCTTTGCATCTCTGCACAACCTTCACCTGACCTTTCTGGAGCTCAGAAAAGACATTCACACCCTCCTCCACTTCCAGGAGAGCCAGCCTGGTCTTGCCTGTGGCTGGGGGTGTTACGGGGGGGTCTGGAGTCAGGCAGAATGGAGCCACGGAGAGACCTGGGAATCTCAGGGGATGAGATGCATTTTCTCCCTGCTAAACAGGGCTGGCTGGCTTGTTTCTTTGTTTCTTTATTAAATGTATTTGCTGCCCATCTCACTACAAGGCGACTCTGGGCTGCTTACCAACATTTTATTACCGTGAAATACGAGGGGAGAAGCTATGTTGAAAGGGGTGCATGCAACACGTTTAGCTAAGTCACAGCTCACTCCAGTGCTTGGATTTGCAGAACTCACTGCCCCCCGGCCCCCCCCCCCCCCCCAGGGCTGTTCAGAGCATCATGTGAACTCAGCCACAGAAAGGCAGACTCTGACTCCAAGAGCTGAATAAAAGGGAAACCACCTTGCCCGGTCAGGGAGTCCCTGCACAGAGGGAGGGATCGCCTGAGGAAGGCCCCACCCTTTGCCTGGGAAAGGCTCAGACGTCCTTCCACCTTCCTTCTGGGTGAAAGGCCTGGAGGTTCCCGCCACAGCAATATATCGCACGCTGATAGGTAGGATGATGGGTGAGGTGCGTTTCCATGCTAGCCTGGTGGCCTCTCTGTAATCTGTGGCGTGGGCCAGCTAAGCCTTTCCCCTTCAGCTGTAGCCGCCTGATCTATTCCAGATGTGCTTTGGAGAACATCTGCTTACTGGCCTGCCTGCAGAAGATTTGCTGAGCCGGGATCATCTGGTTTTCTTTGGCTTTGAATGAGTATTTGAATTCTACCGCCAATCAGCAAGCTCAGCGGTAGAAACTCCAAAAAATGCTTTGAGTTGATATCCATGTTTAAATCGGGGAGACAGAATGGCAAGGCCTGGCCTGGTGACAGGGCACCTGCTTTTTGGGACCCCCCAAACCTTCCTGGAAGGGGCAGTTTCTGCTTTGGGACCTTTGGAGAAACCAGGGCTGAGGTGGGCGAAGGGAAGAATCTGCCTTCGGCTTCTCTGGAGACTGCTCCCCGCCCCCCCCCCCCCCCCCCCGCCCCCCCCGCCTGATGGATGCTCTCATCTGTGCAGAACGGCACTGGGGCTGCTGAGCGCAGATCACTGAGGCTGCAGGGTGTGCACGAGGGTGGGATTGACCCACTTCTGGACCTCCGGCAGCTGAATGTGTGAATTCACTGCCTTGCGCTGACTGTAATAACCGCACTCCGGTGCCCTACGCAGGGCAGAACCTCTAAGGTTTGATTCCATTTTCTGCAGGGCTAAATGAATGCAAGTGAGGTCCTTGGCTGCTGGGTTCATGAATGTGAGCAGGGAGGAACGATCCGTGCCGCTCTGTTCCAGCAAGGTGTTTGTCCCCAATTCGGTAGGAAACAGGAAATGCAGGCTCCTCTTGCAGAGAACATGTTCAATGCGCTGGGCAGAGCAAGTGAAAACACTGCAGGCTTCCAGAAATGTGGGTCATGATCTGAGATAAAATTCCTGCTGCATTGGCTGCGAAGTGCTTTGGGGAGGGGAAAGAGGAGGGGGGCACTGGAAGCTGAATGCCAGCCATGAATGGAGGCATTTCTGTAAGTAGAGCAGCCACGTATAAATTTAGCAGCAAGCCAATAATCCGTCCTTCTCAGAACAAGCCTTGCAAATGCGCCCTGAGGACACTGTCGTCGTGCTAAGGAAGGGCTGGGTGGATTTGCTGAGTCCCACGCAGCCCACGGAGCATGTGGCAGGAGGAGTGGGGGCTCCAGGCTGACTTCCCAGGGGCGGGAAGGGGAGAGTAGCAGGAACCAAATGGGTTTAAACGTAAACTCTTCACCTTCGCCCTTGTAACCTGCTGGCTGTTTAGATCAAGAACAGTTTCCTCTGAGCAGCTGGTTAATGTATAATCCCAGAAGTTAAGAGGGAGAAGCTTGGGGGCTGGGAAGGGGGACTTACTCCTGGGTAAATCTGGAAAGCTGCATTGAAGGTCTCCTCTGGGGGTTCACACAGGCAGATTTTGGACCTCTGACAGTCTTCCTTCAATGAGGCATCTCTTGGGGTCCTGGAGGAAAGATTAAAGAACAGCAGGTTCTTCTAGGCATACACAGAGTGCCTTCCTTTGCCACTTTCCCCATCCTGGTACCTTCAAGCGTGGGCTTTGCGGCCTTGGGGAGGAATGTGCCCAAAATTTGTGCTCTTCCCTCTGACATCTGAGGTGGGTAGAAAAGTGGGTCAGAAGGAACAGCTCATTTGGGACACAACTATTATCAAACATGTACCGAGTTTATTTTTCAGGGCGGTTGGCATTTTAAAAATAAGGCATCGTTAGACTCTGGTATACAGCTTGTTCCGGTTTCGGCTGGGGCTGGGTGTGAGCGGTGTTTGTTCCCAGCGGCAAGAAACTTTCTAACTTGGTTAGTTGTTTGCATTCCACCCGGCCTGGCTCATAACCACAGAAGGAATAAAGCACAAGAGCTTCTGGCAGATCACACAAGGCCCGGCCAGCAGCGGGCCAGACACAAATAATGACAAAGTGGGATCTGGACGTTTTGCCCGGTGACCAAATATAGCCCCTGCCCCACCAGCAATCAGACAGGCCAGGCTGGGCTATTCTGGTTCTTGCCCTGCCTGCCACCCCGTCTGCTGTCTGACCAAAGGATCCCACTGGATGGAAAGCCTGAGACACCCAAATGGTTACCCCTACTTTGCAAAGTGGAGCACCAGGTGTGCAGGAAGTGCTCTCAGGTACTCCAGGTAAGCCTGGCAGATCACGGCACCCAGTGCCTTGAAAGGGGGGCTGGCTGCCCCCTCCCCACATCAGGTGGGCCAGCTTTTTCTACCTGGGTAGAGTTCCAATTTAGCCATCACAGCTGGGCATCTGGGAGTTGTAGAAGCGGCATCGTTGGATGTCCCATTATAAAAGGGGTGCCTTCCTAATATTTTCAAGCCTACCACCCACAGCAGGGGTGTCCAACCAGGGCAACTTTAAGACCTGTGGACTTCAATTCCCCGAATTCCCCAGCCAGCTATGCTGAAATTAAAGTCTACAGCTCTTAAGGTTGCCCTGGATGGACACCCCTGCAGTATCCTTTGCAACCATCCCACTACTAACCAGACCTGACCCTTTGGATCTTGGTCAACCGAGGCCAGCCACAGGGGCATGCTGGGGCAGACGTGTATTTAAAACGGTTCAAAATGGCAGCCGCAGCCATG